CAGTGAAGCAGAAGTAAGGCTTTACAGATGACAAGGGTAATGTTGTATTGACACAAGTAGTAACGTTGCCAAAGGAATGTAATGAATTCTTCCGCTCAGTACTCACAAAGGGAAATGAGAAAAATGGCATGAACTGACAGCCATTTCCCAAGGTAAAAGCAAAAAAAAAATACAAAAAAAAAAATACTGAAAGCGATCAGAAGCAATCTATAACCAGTTATGAAGAAATGAGAGTAGCCAGGCTGAGAGAACAACGCCGTAGGTGTGATAGGTAGGCAAGGGGAAATTCCTCCTTTGACAGAATTAACTTCTCACTCCACACTCCTCCTTTTTCTTTTTTATTAAGAATGAAAGGAACAAAATGTAAATTCCACATATTTATAGATTTCATAGATTTCATAGACATTAGGGCTGGAAGGGACCTCGGAAGATCATCGAGTCCAGCCCCCCACCCGAAGGGCAGGAAGTCAGCTGGGGTCATAGGATCCCAGCAAGATAAGCATCCAATTTACTCTTGAAGGTGTTCAATGTAGGTGCTTGAACCACCTCCGATGGCAGGCTGTTCCAGACCTTGGGGGCTCGGACAGTAAAGAAATTCTTCCTCATGTCCAGCCTGAAACGGTCTTGCAGCAGTTTATAACCATTCGACCTCGTCATCCCTTGGGGCGCTCTGGTGAACAAATGTTCCCCCAGATACTGGTGGGCACCCCTGATAAACTTATAGGTGGCCATCAGATCACCCGAGCCTGCGCTTTTCCAGGCTAAAGAGCCCCATAGCTCTCAGCCTGTTGTCATAAGGTCTGTTTTCCTGACCTCTGATCATGCGCGTGGCTCTTCTCTGGACCCTCTCAAGCTTCTCCACATCCTTTTTGAATTGTGGAGCCCAAAACTGGACGCAGTACTCCAGCTGCGGCCTTACCAAGGCCAAGTACAAGGGGAGAATGACGTCCCGGGATTAGCTTGAGAAGCATCTATGGATGCAAGCCAGTGTTTTGGTCGCTTTGCTAGACGCAGCATCGCATTGCAGGCTCATGTTCATCTTGTGGTCAATGATGACCCCCATTTAAAAGTTGATCAAGAGAGAATCCAAGGAATGGCAAATAGCATTAAGATGCGACTACCCTGACTTGCCTACTGGAAGAGAAGTATCATCTAGGAAAGAAGGACAGCCATTTTAGACCCTGTAAAGATTGTTCAGGGAAGGTACTCACACTTGGGTACTGATGCAACTATAAGTCTTGATCTCCAGTGAGTGGATGGGCCCGAAAAAGGCAGTAGCCACTAAAGACTCAAGAGGCAAAAGAAGTAAGTTTAGCTGCTGTTCATAAGAAGGGAATGCTGGGTAAAATGGACATTTCCAGTTTGAACCCAAACCACTGTCACCCAGTTTGCAAAAGCTTTACAATCTACATTCAGCCTTGGTAAAAGCATGCAACAAACTGGTTATTTTATTGTGAAATTTTAGAAATAAGTTGAGGTATCCAGTTGTGAGTGGAATTTCAGTTTACACTTATGGGACTGGCAAAAGAGCTTACTGCACAAACCATCTTGTTACTGGTGAACTTTGACGCAGAGAATTACAGGACTTTAAACCATCACATTCCCAATATTTTCTTTACTGCTAACATTCATTAGAAACAGGACAAGGGATCACAAGGTTCAAATTCTAACTTGTGTGCAACCACCCACTGAAGTCAATAAAGATCAGAACTCAGCCTGCAGAAATGATAAATTCAGGGGAATCAGGATGGATTAATCAAGAAGTCACATTACTTTATAAAAACTGATGAGGTTCTGAAAGAATTAACAAATAGGCATTGTGTTAACTTATCTGGCTTTTAGGGGAGGAAAGGTTTTGATCCAATAACCTAATGTCTAAGATATAAAAGGCCTGAAGTATTTTAGTAGAAAGATGAACTGGCTTCTGATATAGGCTGGCACAGTCTGGAGGCAGAAGACTAATGGAGAAACACAAGGATCAATGTTGAGATTGATTTTGTTCCTTTTAATGAATCCATTTCACAAAAATAGGCATGTGCAATACAATGATAAAATGTGATACTGGTAAGTAATGAACTGCTCAAAACTATACAGGAGGTGGCACGAGAAGATGTGGGGTCAGTCAATCTGAGAATGACTTAAATATTTAGGAAGACAGAAATGAGTCATTTATGCTACTGGGTGTGAAGAAATATCTGTATACTTTCGTACTGGGTATGTAGAAGCATAAATCAAGATAACAGACAAATTCCTGGTGGCTCTGACCATGGTAGTCAAACACAATTATTTTGCTCTCCAAGTTAATCTAGTTTGGGCTGGATCATGTTGAGGAACAGATGTATTTTTTTGTTAAGTATAGTCTTAGTTGACATTTTTTTTAATGATTTGGAAGAAGGAAAAAACAGCTCCTGTTAACAAAAATACCTAGATGACACTAAAACTATGAGAAACTGCATACACTACTCTTTGTTCAAAATTATACAAAGGCATAGAGACAGACTAGAAGCAGACTGAAAAAAAACAATAAAATCAGAAGCATCTTGGGATAATATAAGCCGTGAAAAATACAAAAGGTCAAAACTGTGGGATCCTATACATGTGCAGGGAGGCTGCTTCTACGCAATGTAATTACAGTGCATTGGAACATTAAGCTGTGGCAATTACTGCACTCCAGCAGACTCCAGAGTCACGTGCATCAGTGTCTCCGCACTGAAAAAGTGACAGAGGTTTAGTTATTTGCCGAGCTTTAGTTAAAGTGCCCTGGCCACCATTTTTCAGTGTGGGACGCTGATACATGTGATACTTTGGGCGCTTTAATTACCACAGCTCTCAGATCCATGCTAATTAAAGCGCTCCTGCCCCCTCTCCACCCTGCCTCCTACAGCATGTCTATAAACACCCTGTTTGTCAAATATGATATGTTATTCAATGTAGTAGAAACCAAGAAAGCAGAAATACCAAAAGAAACCTGGGATTTTAATCATATTTAATTACAAATGAGTCAGTTTATTTATCTGTTCAGATTTATGCTACAGAATAATGACCTTCATGAGTTCTGAATTCCTTTCTCTTTAACATGTCAGCCAGTTGTCTTTATGGTTAGGGCTGCCAGGCTCTGGAATGGGCTCCCAAGGGAAGTGGTGCTCTCCCCTACCTTGGAGGTCTTGAAGAGGAGGTTGGATAGATATTTTATAGATTCACAGATGTTAGGGTCAGAAGGGACCTCAATAGATCATCGAGTCCGACCCCCTGCATAGGCAGGAAAAAGTGCTGGGTCTAGATGACCTCAGCTAGATGCATATCCAACCTCCTCTTCAAGACCTCCAAGGTAGGGGAGAGCACCACCTCCCTTGGGAGCCCGTTCCAGACCTTGGACACTCAAACTGTGAAGGACTTCTTCCTAATGTCCAGTGTAAATCTGCTCTCTGCTAGCTTGTGGCCATTATTTCTTGTAAATTTGGCTGGAGTATTACGATCCCAGCACTCATTCCTGCCCAGGACAGGGGTTTAGGTCCCTTCCGACCTTAGAAACTATGAAACTATAAAATGGACTCCCTCTATAGGTGGGTGAAAGAAGTATCTCAGCTCTGCCAAGGAAAAAAATGGATTTAAACTTCAGAAAAGACCAGTGAAATTTCACGGTGCACTGACATCTTGTCACAGGCCAAAGAGGTACAAAAAATAAATTCTCTTTATGACACTGGGTACATCTACATGTTCATTAATGCACTTTTCCTAATGCACATTAAATTTAGTACCTTCAATGTGAGGTACTAAATAAGTGTGCATTAGGCTGCCCTAATGCGCAGGTACTGAAAACACACATTTTTAAAGTGATGTGTAATGTGCTGTAGCCTATTTTACTGTCCATTAGCATAATTGCACACTATTTTATGTGACGCTTTAATGCGTAGTAAAATGGGCTACTGTACATTAAAGTCCACTGAGTCAAGAAAGCATTTCAGTAGATGCTGGACAAAAAACAATCAGATGAACTGATATCAATGAAACCCAATGGAGATGAGAGTCTGGCCCTACCAAAATCAGTGGCAAAATTTCCATTGACTTCAACAGGGTTTCCATGTCTTCCATTAAATATAAACAACATGAACACGGTGAAAATATTTAGAATGGTCCCAAGGGAGTAACGTGATGAAACAGAGACTATAAAAAAAAATTCCTCATTGAGAAATTAGTAAGGGTGCAAAACAGTCTCTCGAAGTAAGAGATAGAAATCACACTGTTTGGGACACTTATAACTGAAAAGGACTACAGAAAACATCTATGCTATACTACAGAAAATAGCTATACTGTACTGAACACATCTTTTCTTAAAATGCCAGAAAGTAAAAATGGAAATCTGAGAAGTAGAACTGGTGCAAAAAGGTAATTTTCATTTTCATCTGGAACTGTGCTCTGGTACACTGATTTAACACTGCTCCATGGTGTGAGCATGGGTAGTAAAATACTTATTTTAATCACAGTAAATATATATATCTTGAGTTGAATGAGCTCATGGATTTGTCTTCATCAAAAATGTGTTGGGTTTTCTAATTAAACACTTATTTAGCTGCAGCCTCAAAAACAAGCATTCAGTGCAACAGTACCAACATGGAGAACATGGTACATTTACAATTAATTATTCAGGGTGCATCTACATGTTCATTAATGTTCTGTAATTATGGTGCATTAAGTTTAGTACCTGTAATAACTTAATGGACAGTAATCAGTGCTACTACACATTAGTGCAGATGAATGTTTTTTTAGTGATATTAATGAGCATTATTCTAAATCTACTGCACATTAGCACAGGCTTTGCCCACCACACTAATGCGCAGTAGAATTAGTCTTCTGCACATTAAGCATCTTGTGTAGATGTGCGCAAGTTAGCTCTGCTTGCTACAAATTTCTCTCCAGTTTGGGGGAATTTGGATTAAACTCCCCATCTGAAACAGATTTGCTCAGCTTCAAATACAGTTCCAGGTAGTTATTCTTCTCACCATAAGAAGTCTGTCTCCAACTTGCAATCTTCCATCTTTCTGGGCTGCTCCTCCATCAATAATCTTAGTAACATAAATGCTGTTGTCTCCAGGAATATGCTGATTTCCTACTCCGCCAGCAATACTGAAGCCCAGACCTGGGGAAGGGGGAAAAAAATCTCATTAGCAATACTGATCACAGTACTAAAGAGGAATGCCTAGATAATACGCACTAACAGCCAGTTGCAAAATTATTACAGTATTTACTAAATGAAGTAGCAAATGTGAAACTCAGGGAGTTGATGCACGTTCCCTTGGTTTGCCAAATAAATTAAGAACATCCTCTCCCATGTACACTTATAAGAACATGCTGCTTTACTGAATCAAAACCAGTATTTGATTGGTCCCTCTAGACCAATATCCTGTTTCCAACAGTGGCCAGTGCCAGCAAGTACAGAAAACTCTGTAGTCAGCAGCTATGGGATACTCTGACGCCAGAGACTTTTTCTTCCTAATGACCAATACAGTTTATTGGGTTTATTTTGTAATTACTATGATTATAGATATTATTATTATCAATACAAGTAGTGTAATAAGGTTATGGAGAAAGAGAATTTGAGATCCCTTGTCAAATCTGTAAATTGCCACAGAGAAAAGGCTGGATAGATTAGATAGGGGGCAATGGAGAGTGTTGTTCTTTAAGAATTCTGCTTTGCATAATTTTTGGCACCCAGATCTTATAGGTAATGGTTACACTAAAGATAAGGCTAATAATCCTTTCTGTACATTCAACTTCCATTCTGTGCCCTGTAAAATTCCAAGATGAAGACCACACAAAAGTTCTCAGAGTTTTGGAGCAATGTCAAAAGTGTATGGTAACACTATCAGGAAATGATAATGCAAACTACAGAAAAAAATATATATAATAGGAAGACAAAACAAACAGACTTTGGAATCCACACTTTTTTTTCCTTTTCTTATCCTCTCCCTACCACATACACATACATAAACACAAATCACTGGTCTCATTAGTATAAGATCTTATCTCTCAGTCTAAGAAACATCTGTCCATTATTTTCATAAAAATCCATGTTATGGGCTACCAAGCAATTCACAGCCTAATTGTTATATTTTTCCTGGATTCATACCCCTAATGAGAACTATCAGAGGAATAAATGAATTGTTATTGACAATAACCTGCTTCTAAGATGAGATGCAGAAACAACCCAGGTGCAGCTATTGCAGCAATAAAAGAAAATATATGCAATATATATCCTCTCTGATTTTATAGCATGGGTTTTACTTACAAAATAAGTAGTACTCTGTAGTTACAGAAACAAGCATTTTTGTAATGGTTGCAAGCCTGGCTTTGGAAGATGCAATAGAAAAAAAATATTTCCTGGTACTTGGCATTTTATGATTGTCACCAGCCTTAAATAAAATAAAATTTTATTTAAAAATCATTGATGTTATATTTTCACACTTGCAAGCTTCTTTGTCATCCATACAACTGCAGGGTTGAGGGTTTTTTTAATGAATTAAAGCTGTTGATAAAAATGGGCTTCACCACATAGTATTTTATGTTGATCATTATTTGTCACCAACTAGAGATGTGGTGTCAGACACCACAATGGCTAATTAATGGATTCTCACAAAATGATACATTACAAGGAGAAATCTCTAAAATTATATCTCAAATCCAATGAATTTCAAATGAATTAATTATGATGGCTGTTAAAATTAAATGTAAAATTAATTTAGAATGGTGGAACAATTAAAATAAAGTGTTATTTAATTTCCAAATTAAGTGGGTAATTACCCCTTGTATTTATGTGGTACTGTCAGGACAACTGCACACATAATTTTACCAGGAAAAAAAATAGTTCTTTTGAGTTCTTCAGCCTCAGAGAATTTATTTATCACCTTGGAGAAGCAGCCAAGGAGCAAAAAGGATGTGCTGTGTAGGAGAATACCAATGAGGAAAACTCCAATCAAGACTTTTGCCCCAAACAGTCACATATGTTCAAAGAAAAAAATACTGGACTGCCTCTTCTACTGACATATTTATTTTGTTCAAGCGGTAAAAAAAACCCCCCAAAACACAACCCCAAAAATACAACCGAACATGTGGTGCAAAATTTTACTAGCGCCATAAAACTTTCAGAAGTATTAATTTCAGGAGTGGACAGGGCCATAGACTGGGTGTTAAGGGAAATGGGTCTATTTTCATCCTAGACACGGATCTCTTGTGTGACCTTGGAAAACAAAGTTAGGACAACCTCGATCTTACACATTTGCATCTTCATGGAGGTCCTACTGTATTCAATGGACTCCAGCATAGGAGCAGGGCTTTGCCATTCTCTACGCGCAGCCATAACCTATTTTTACAATATGTTAAAAGCCACTAGGTACCTGGTCCAACATTACACACCCCTTTTTTTTATTTTAGGAAGGTGAATCCTGGACAGCTGCTTATTGGACCTCCACCCCCACACTTAATCATCTTCACCTGTTCATCTTATGGGATACTATCCCCCATAGTTTGTCTCAAAGGAGAAAGAAAACTACTGGTTACTTTGCTGTCTTGTGAGGTCTTAGCTTCTTCATAATGTCACAATTTGCTAAGTTCTTGATGCAATTAAATGAAATCATGAGAGGACTAGTTCCCAGCACGAATGACTGGTGCCTCCCAAGACTGGGGGGGGCACCAGGGCACCAAGTGGCAAGCTGGGACCGCCCCCAGATGCCGACATTGGTGTCAGCAGTGACAAGCAACAAGCAAGGACCACCCGTAGATGCCAGGGGTGGTGCCAGTGGCAGGGCGGGGGGTTAGCGGGGACTGCTTGCAGACGCCGGCAGCGGCGTTGGCGGCAAAGTTGGGGCGGGTGAGACAATCTCACCTCTCCAGACCCTAACCTTCATATGAAGAGGAGGACAGTGAGAGACTAATGGTGTAAGTGGTTGGGGATTGAGGACAGGTCTCTCCAGATGGTACAGAGGGGCAGAGAACCAATGATACAGATCACCAAAGGAAGGGTGATCGATGCTAGTTATTACAAAACAATTCCCTAATGTGTTATACAATAAAGTTGTGACCTAGTTAAACTACATTCCTACTAGTTTGTCTTCCTACTGAGTCAAAGATTAGTTTAAATAAAACCAAGATAGTGACTACATTTCTAGGGAAACCAAGAAATTCAAAGTCAAAGTTGACAATTTTATGCCTTTGCCTTGTGTGTCAAGATTAGTGTGTGTACAGTGGTTTGGGGTTTAAACCAAATGGTGAATCAGACATAAAAAACTGCAGAAGTCTAACACGGCTGTAATGATCTGGGAAAGCTATTATCATGGAAAACAACTGCTGCAAGTCTGGAGAAAGGTATCTGGAAAGAACTGACAGGATAAAATGATATAGAGAGAAGTTGCACAGCATGAAAAAGTGACAACCAATAAATTTGATACTACTCTAAGTGACTTTTTTGCAGTCTAAATAAATTACTGTGTCAATCAAGTCCTGCCTAAAGAAAGAGCTTTGTGGGGTTATTATAAGAACTTAGAAGGAAATATTCTGCCAAGTGAAAGTTTCATTGACAATACCAGAAATGCTGTTTAACTGAGCCCAGACAGCTCACCTACTAACCTTAAACATTTTCATTTCATCAATAATTTGAGTGTGTGGATCAAATGTTAGTACTGAAAGGGGACGATCATTTTAATCTTCTGTTTATAACCAAGCACGAGTTTCTATTCATTCTGCATTTTGTGTTGTATGAATTCAATATTACGATGCATATCTCATGTGATATTAAAAGACACATTTATAGAATCATGGAATCAGAGAAAATGAGGGTTGGAAGGGATCACAGGAGGTCATCTAAGTCCAACCCCCTGCTCAAAGCAGGACCATCCCGACTAGATCATTGCAGCTAGGGCTTTGTCAAGCTGGGCCTTAAAAACCTCCAAGGATGGAGAGTCGACCACCTCTCTACATAACCTGTTCCAGTGCTTCACCACCCTCCTAGTGAGAAAGCTTGTCCTAATATCCAACCTAAACCTCCCTTGCTTGTAACTATAGTACATTCTGACTACGTTTAAAATTCATCATAAACCTCTTGGAAAGCTATGTAGCCTGCAAGGAGTTAAGTTCAGCTCCCTGGCTCCCATTTGGCCACAAGTCCCCCTGTCACTCTGGCTGGAACAGCAGCCAGAGCCTCTGGGCTTTCCCTCCTTCCCTGCTCCAGCTTCCACATTGTATACCCACCCGTCAGGGCAGTGAGGCACAGCATGGTATGGGGTGGGACACTCAAGGTAAGGCCAGAGTTGTGCAGCATGCAATGCAACTGTGGGGGAGGCACCCATGTGGACATGCACTGCAGCAGTGGGTTGTCTGTGTGGGTGTGCGCTGCACTGGTGGGATGGAGCATCCATGTGGGCTCAGCTCAGTTTGTGACGGGGGGAGGGAGCCCACCAAAGCCATGTGCTACAGCAGCGGGGGAACAAAGCCATGTGCTACAGCAGAGGGGGAAGGGTACAGGTGCACAGTGCAATTGGGGGGGGCATCCATGCAACATGCAGCCTGCAAGCCTGTCACCCTCATTGGTGCAGTCCCCGCTAGGGCAGCCTGTGGGGCATGCAGCCCCTGGCCACTTAGAAGTTGGATAGCCCTACCTTAGTTACTGCCCCCTCACCTTCAGTGCAAGTACCAGCTGACTGATGTCAGTTTGCTTCAAGGAAAGAAATGGAAAGAAAACATTACTCATGCTTAAATGTTCTGTCCTGCCTTAATGTTGAGAGGGTTTAAATAGGTTTGTAGTGACTACTTCTGACTGTGTTATAGACAGCTATAATCCTTTGGTTGTTATCCTATCTACTTTGCCCTGAAGAGTTTGCTGATATAAAAATGAATTTTGTTATAACATTAAAAGCAAATACACATTTACAAGTTGATTTAATATGTGTACAAAGCTTTTTCTAACATTTTCTTATGTTCTTATATGGTGCAGCTGAGAGACTGACCTTGTGTTACTTCTCACCCAACTACAATCCATGAAGCAACATGTAGGAAATGCTGAATCCCAAACACAGAGGGTCACCCCATCTTGGTCCCCGATGCTGCATGAGAAATTGCCCTTCATAGGCATCAGTTCTAAAAATTTCT